AGCATGACCGGGAATAAAGTTTCGTCGACCTTGACAAGACAAAGTTCACGGAGGACAGCGGAGTACTGCATCATGGCTTTGTCCTAGCCTCGCCAGCGGAGGAATTAATCCCCTGGAATAAACTTATACTATTTTTATTGTTCCGGAGGAGGACCTCTTGGAGCGCAGGAGTCTAAGGGGGAGAGGGGGGTTTCTGCTGTCTTCTTGTCTTGTGTTGTGAATGCGACGAACTTTCGGCCTGGCGCAGCATGCGTTGGGGGAGCACTGGTCTTGCCGAAACTTCACAAACGGATCTTGGCGTGCCTTCCCTAAGCGCTTTTTGAAGCAGACTCTGGCCACCAAAACGCACGCTAGACTTTGGCCACCAAAACGCATGCTGCCTTCGATCCGCAAGTGCGTTTTGTAGCAGACTCTTGCCACCAAAACGCATGCTGCGCCGGGCCGATAGTTCGACCCACCAACATCTTGGGGTTGTTACACCCATACCCCGCCCTCTTCCCCATAGACTCCTGACACAATGGGGCTGGGGGCCTCCTCCGGGGCTTCTATAGTACTATATTTTCAAAACGGGGTATTAATTTCTCCGCTAGCAGGCGTAGGGAAAACGCTACTTCTCGGCACTCCGCTACTCCGCGGGAGCCTTCACTGTCTGCGTGCCATCCAACATGTGCCGTGGGTCGAAACTTTCGGCCCGGGGGTGCCTTCCGTAAGCACTTTTTGAAGCAGACTCGATCTGGCCACCAACTGTTTTCCGTAAGCACACGTTTTGAAGCAGACTCCGGCGACCAAAACGCATGCTGCCTTCCGTAAGCACTTTTCGAAGCAGACTCTGGCCACCAAAACGTCAGAAGACCTTCAGAGGTCTTGCGCCGCAAGGACCGCAGACGCAAGCAGAAATCGGAGCTTGGGTCCTGGACGCCAGATTTTTTAGTGGAAACGGCCTTCTAGGGAGCATGACCGGGAATAAAGTTTCGTCGACCTTGACAAGACAAAGTTCACGGAGGACAGCGGAGTACTGCATCATGGCTTTGTCCTAGCCTGGCCAGCGGAGGAATTAATCCCCTGGAATAAACTTATACTATTTTTATTGTTCCGGAGGAGGACCTCTTGGAGCGCAGGAGTCTAAGGGGGAGAGGGGGGTTTCTGCTGTCTTCTTGTCTTGTGTTGTGAATGCGACGAACTTTCGGCCTGGCGCAGCATGCGTTGGGGGAGCACTGGTCTTGCCGAAACTTCACAAACGGATCTTGGCGTGCCTTCCCTAAGCGCTTTTTGAAGCAGACTCTGGCCACCAAAACGCACGCTAGACTTTGGCCACCAAAACGCATGCTGCCTTCGATCCGCAAGTGCGTTTTGTAGCAGACTCTTGCCACCAAAACGCATGCTGCGCCGGGCCGATAGTTCGACCCACCAACATCTTGGGGTTGTTACACCCATACCCCGCCCTCTTCCCCATAGACTCCTGACACAATGGGGCTGGGGGCCTCCTCCGGGGCTTCTATAGTACTATATTTTCAAAACGGGGTATTAATTTCTCCGCTAGCAGGCGTAGGGAAAACGCTACTTCTCGGCACTCCGCTACTCCGCGGGAGCCTTCACTGTCTGCGTGCCATCCAACATGTGCCGTGGGTCGAAACTTTCGGCCCGGGGGTGTATGCCCCAAGACCCCAAAACCCAGATTCTGGAAAGGCTGGCGCAGGAAGCGAGTCGCCAGCAGCAAGTCCTGCTGCAGGAAGCGAAGGCCGGCAGACATGGCACTTGGTTCAGGGCCACAATCCCCTAAAACCCTAAACCCCAAACCCCAAACCCTAAACCCTAAACCCTAAACCCTAAACCCTAAACCCTAAACCCTAAACCCTAAATATGGGCGGGCTTGCTTGGAGAAAGGGAGTCATTGCATTTCAAAAAAAAATCCCTGAACCCTAAACCCTAAACCCTAAAACCCTAAACCCTAAACCCCGAACCCTAAACCCTAAACCCCTAAAACCCTAAAACCCTAAAACCCTAAACCCCTAAACCCCAAACCCGGAACCCTAAACCATAAAACTCTGAGCTCACAAGTCCGACGGAGGCGCAGCAGCTGAAGGAGCGTGAGCAAGAGCGCGATCGCCGCTTGCATATGGCGAGGGCGATGGCGGCTATGAGTTTAGGGTTTAGGGTTTAGGGTTTATGGTTGAGGGTTCAGAGCGCCTGAGCCCTCTGCAAGCCAGATAGTCTCTAACGCCTGTTAGTTGGCCCTGTTTTGTCCGTAGACCTTTTGGGGTCCCTGCGCAGGCAGGTTCATCGTGATAGCAGGACCTTGCAAAGTGACCCCAAAAAGCTGGCATCCGCATGTAAACAACTCTCATCAGGGGTAGGTTTGAACATATTTTTTCAATTCCTCTTACCCTTAATCCCCTCTGTCATCCCTATCAAGCCACAAAAGTCTTCTTTTTCACAAGGCCCCCAAGCCGACCCCAGTCATCCGCAGCCCTAAACCCTAAACCCTAAACCCCTAAACCCCTAAACCCTAAACCCTAAACCCTAAACCCTAGACCCTAGACCCTAGACCCTAAACCCTAAACCCTAAACCCTAAACCCTAAACCCTAAACCCTAAACCCTAAACCCTAAACCCTAAACCCTAAACCCTAAACCGCAAGCATGCGTGCAGAGGTCTCATGGCCGAGCTGCGCTCGGCAAGCGGACCCGCTGAGCGAGCGAAGCTTGAGGTGGACAGGGTTTAGGGTTTAGGGTTTGGGGTTTGGGGTTTGGGGTTTGGGGTTTGAGGTTTAGGGTTTAGGGTTTAGGGTTTAGGGTTTAGGGTTTAGGGTTTAGGATTTAGGGTTTAGGGTTGCGGCCATTTTCCCCTGGGTTCTTGGTCGGGAATGAGGGAATTTGGGCACTACATAGGCCCTGATATATACCCTTATTTTTTGGGATTATATAGGGTACCTCATTTTGCTGATTCCCTCCAAAGAACCAGCCAGTTTTTCTGAAGGACTTGTTTGTTTGAGTTTAGGGCTGAGGGTTTAGGGTAACTATTGGTTTTTGAGGCTAGGGCTGAGGGTTAGGGTCCTTATTGTTTTTGAGTTTATGGCGGAGGGTTTAGGGTATGGTCCAGTTCGCGGGCTGATTGGATCACGGGGGCTTAGGTTTTAAGTGTACAGGTTAGCTGCTGCCTTTGACCCCAAACTTAGTCCCTGAAACCATAGATTTTTCAAGGCAGCCATGGACTATAAAATGAACCCTTCCTTTGGAGACACGAAGCATTTCCCGCCGTGCCTGCGTGCCATGGTTGGGCTGCTCCTCTTTCTGTGGTGTTCCAACGGGCTGTGGTTGCAGCGATCTCAGGCCCCAAAGTCTCCACGGGACCACAGGGTATGGCGAGGTTGGGTAGGTTATGGCTCACAGGGTTCTTCAGAAGTCGGAACTGCGAGCTTTCAAGTGACCTTCCAGGCGGAGAAAGCCAGGCTAGAGAGCCGACTGCAGCAAGAGAAGGCGCGCAGTGCGGATGTGGAACGAAACCCGCAATCCGAACCTCAAGGTGTGTGTAGTTCGCTATTTATGGGCTGTTGGGGTTCAACCTAGAGGTGGGGTGTAGCCTACCGAGGTCTTAGGGCTTCAGAAAGTTCATGGGTTGCTTAGGGCTTAGTGTTCAGGGAGCGATTGCGCGTTGCTTGGGAGTCCTAACTTGGCGGTGTTTGGGAATGTCCCTGAAGTCTTGTAGCTGTTCAAGTGCTGCCTTGCGACAGGGAGCCGCATTTTTGGGGCACCTTTGTGAGAAGCACTTTACTTTGTGTGAGGATGGTGGTTTTTGATGAGATGACTGGACTGTCGGCCTTTTAGAACACCAGAACCTTTGAACCTTTAAGCCCTGAACCCTAAAAATGCACTTTCTGAGATCTCCTCGCAGATGCGAAGAGCATGGGATGCGGGAAGAAACCTGCAAAGGGTCGTGGAGTCGTGGACAGCTTTCGCACCACATCTCTAGGCACCATGCTCAGGTTTAGATCACTCTTATACAGGACAGCAGACCTGCCGACTACTGGCAGTTCGGATGCTCCCCCGTATACTATCCGTCCTGAATAGGGAGTAAAGTACCACCTATTATCATCCCTATTAAGGACTGTTAATAGGGATTATCGTTCCCCCCCCCCATTATAATCCCTATGAAGGAGCTGTTAGTCTAAAGGGGAACATCTCAAAATGGCAGCTCTTGAAACGGCCTCCTCACGTGCAGGAGGACCATCTCGCGCAGCAGAATGACCTTCAGTCGAAGTTGCTTGTCTCTCGAGATGATCCTCTAAGCCTGTAGCTAAACCCTAAACCCCTCCTAAACCCCAAACCCTAAACCCTAAACCCTAAACCCTAAACCCTAAACCCTAAACCCTAAACCCTAAACCCTAAACCCTAAACCCTAAACCCCCTACTTTTATATTTTGTGCAATGTAAGGGATGTTGGCCCTTTTGGCACTGCCTCAACCTTAAACCCACTGAAGTTGCAACCCCGGCGTCAACTCGCAAGGCCTTCCATCCTATATCGTAATCCCACTGCACACGTCATCATGTGGGTCGTCCTCTAAATGGTCGTTTTCTTTTTGGCTGTCAAGGGATTGTCGGAGTCATGTGGCTGAAGGACTCAGGCTCCAGGATTTGCCGGGTTCGAGATCTCACTGATCACAACACTGAGTGGTTTCAACTTTGTCGATCAGTTCGATCGCTTCTGTTTGTTCTGTTCCACCAGCCTTGGTTGTTCGCATCAGGAGAACTGGTTTCCGTCACAAAGGGGTTACCATGAAAGGCAGGGTTCGTAGTGCTGTTCTTGGCGCATGTATGTAGGAGTCCTTTGCGATATTGGTAAGTGTATACAACAAAGTATATATCTATATGCAGATATGTATGTATGTACATATATTTGAGCTGCCTTTTCGGGGTTGCTTGCCATGAAAACCGTGCTTCATAAGACCCGAGCTCGGCGATCAAACCCCCAAATCCGTCTAGGTTGGAGCAGAGCAAGCGCGAGATGGACACCCGGTGTCTGGCAAAATTTCACTTGACAGGGCTTTTGGGGTAGAGGGCCCTACAAGCCCTAAACCTGGCATCCATTGACACCAATATCCAGATAATTCAATTTTTTGGGCCGCCTTCTCATTGTGAGGGGGTCATGAAGGCCAAAATCGGATCGGGGCTATGGAGCCTTGCCGCTCTCCACGTGGCAAGAGAGGAAGGGGGCGAGACTGCCTTCAACAGCTTTATAATCAAGGGACAACATGTACCTGTAGCACAGAAGCAGCAGCAGCAGTAGCAGCCGGGCATCCGAGGAATGTCTCCACGAATAGCACGTGCAACACGCTTCCAATGATCGCCTCAAATGTGGCCATGGCCCCCCAAAGTAGGTAGGCCCTTTGGTCCAGAGAGGGTTGAGGGTTCAGGAAAAGCTTCGGGGTTCCAGGTTTCGATTTGGGTTTCGGTATTTCGGCTCTGCGGGGCTTTGTTTCCGAGGTTCAGGGTATCTTTGCTGGGGTTTAAGGGTTTACGGTTTGGGGCTTTGCGGTTGCATGAGGGTTACGAAGTGCAGCAACCCTGAGCCCTAAACCCTAATGAGGAAAGCTTGCGCGTCGAGCTGCAGCAGACGAAGCGTCGGAACTATTCCTTTGCGGAGCAGATGGGAGGCCTGGTGCGCAAAGCATTGGAGACTGGCACTGGTTATGTTTACGACTGTTTGTTGGGGGCCTTTGGGGGTCTAAATGGTGGAGTTTTGTGGGGCCAACGATGGTCCTTAGGGAGGGAGCATCATCACCTAGAGAATTGGGACTTGAGTAACGCCAGCAGCCAAGCGCTTGCCACACAAAGGACGTTCAGGTGTCATACGGTGATGTGCATCTCAAATTAAATCATTCATTCATGACCTACGGCCTAGATTCTACAGACCTGAGCAACTCCTCCTTGGCCCCCCTTGCTCTCGTCAGGTGCCAGCAGCCACTGCCCTCACGGCAACACGCGAAGGTGGGGCAACGCTCACGGGCGTGGACGGAAGTGTGTGGACTGCGGCAAGGAGCTGGAATACAAGAGGCGCCGTCTGCTGCGGGTCAAAGAGCCATTATGCTGCAGAGACCTTTCAGCCGGAAGCCAAGCAATGTCTGTATCCATGAGGTCTTCGGGCTGAAGGATGGTTTGGGCTGTTAAGGTTTAGGGTTTATGGTTTAGGGTTTAGGGTTTAGGGTTTAGGGTTTAGGGTTTAGGATTTAGGGTTCAGGTTCCTTAGTTGGGCTCGGTCAGAGCAGGCTTTCATGTTGTTTTGACTCATCAAGCAAGCACTTATACCTGGCCCTGTGCAGGTGATTCTGGCAGGCCGAGGTCCGAATGCTGTAGGTCTATAGCTGCCTGTGAGGCAGGTCGTCGTAGATCCTGTGGGCTGAAGTTCTGCCAGGGAGAGAGCACGTTTAGAACGACCCCGCAGATGCGAATTTTCGAGGGTCCATGGCTTGGGGTGTGAGGTTGCATTTCAGGGTGTACTTGTTTCAAAGTTTCGGTGCAGCTAGCAATGTGGGTTACTTCGGCCCCGGGCGCACTTACAAGGGGAGACTTCTTGGATTAGCGGACGTGTGCGAATCGTGTGGGACTGCGCGAAAGGGGACCCAACACTGTCGGATCCTGATAGTTTAGCATGATCTTTTGCCAGATTTCCTTTTGTCTGCAGAACGCTTGCTTGTTCCCCTTGTGCAGTTACCGCTTCAGATCCAGTATACAGTATCTCATATTTGAGATTTAACTGGCTGTGCGCCAGGCATTCTGTGCACCCGCTTTTCCCTTTTCAGGGGTAGATGCGTTCAGCCTTCCCCCTAAACCCTAAGCCCTAAGCCCTAAGCCCTAAACCCTAAACCCTAAACCCTAGGTTGGTATTGCGATTTGAACGAGCATGAGCCCCAGATCTACTTAGATGTCAGACCTGTGGGTTCATACCAGAAGGATTTCGAGGAGTGTTGGCATAGGGTTTAGGGTTTCGGGTTTAGGGTTTAGGGTTTAGGGGTATATAGTAGGGGAACCCTATGTTGGGAAATGCCCACCACCAGGGTTTGGGGCAGGACAGAACGCATCTTGACTCAGAGGCCCTATGGGGGGGTGTCTTGTGGCGCTCGGAGAGAAAAAGTTGCCTATTCGGCATTCGCGGGGTATGGGGAGGTTGCTCTAATCAGGGTGCGGGTTGCAGTTCACATACGGAATTCCTTATCACAAGTACCTCAAGCAGGACCTGTAGTTAGAACAACTATGGTGTTTTTAAGACCTTTGATTCACTTGGGTGATGGGAGACTCTTTTGACCCTGTCAACGAGTCCATGGCAAGTTGAGTAAGCCTGTCATTCAATGGCTCGGCCACCCTGAAGTCCCTTTGGACGGTATGCCAAGACCTGAACTCCTCCGGAAGGGATGTCATTGATCCTGGAAAGCCAAGGGCTTCGGGTTCAAGCGAGTGTTATGACGGCTTTTCTTAGGCCGGCACGACTTCGGGACCTCGGGCATTTCGGGTTCGCTTCGCCCAAGAGCTTGCAGGGCTCCTGACCTCCTCCTAGGCCGCTACCTGCTGGGTAGTGGGCTGCTGCGGTGCCGCCGTCGGGAGCCCTGTGCAAACCATGGGTACGTACACAGTTTTTCTACATGTGTAGGATCTGCACATGTGCATATTTATGTATGTATAATACTTTTCAATAAGAGATTATGTAACTGCATATTTTCTTTATGTATATTATGCATATGTATAGCGTGCTGGCCCCTAAGCCCACACCAAAAAATGGTGTGAAGAATAAGGTCCAGAAACGGCTGCAGAAGCGAAGGGCTAAACTACAAGAGTGCTTGCGGTTTGTCGTGCTGGAGAACAGAAAGGGTCGGGGGTTTAGGTTTTGGGTTTTGGGTTTAGGGTTTAGGGTTTAGGGTTGCCGAGAAAGTCCTCTTCAAGGAGCGCCTACTTAATAGTGTGCTGCGTCCTTGCAGCACGACCCTAAACCTTAAACCCTAAACCCTAAACCCTAAACCCTAAACCCTAAACCCGAAACCCGAAACCCTAAACCCTAAACCCTAAACCCTAAACCCTAAACCCTAAACCCTAAACCCAATGTGCGCCCGGAGTCCCCAGGTGAGCTTGTGGTACCACATACACTACCGGTTCGCCGCATGCTTAGCTGCAGGCTACCAGGGATGGGCTATTCGGTCCGAAAGTCCCAATAATCAACCCTTATAAAGGGCCCTTTGAGGGTGTTTTCGGGTGTAATCGCTCATCCTGCTATGGGGTGGGATGCAGCCATCTCTATCGTTGAGCTGTCGTGGGTTGGATCGTGGACTTGTGCACTCCTAGAATGCGCTATCACGTGCATCATGCCACTACACGGGTGGCATCTGCATTATGGGCTTCGCATTCCGTAACTCTAGTCTATAGGGTGCTGTTTTGGCTCACAATACAAGCCTGCCCCATGCACGCGCCCCCCCCCCCCCCCAAAGTACCCCTTCGTAACGGGCCTAAAGAGTTACTGTCAGCACTTAAGGTATCTTGAAGGGTAAAGGGTGCGTTCCTTCTTGTTGAGGGCCCCGGGGGGGCAGCCGAAGCCCGAAATGACCTGAAGCCCTGAACCGCGCCGGTCGCCCAGGTGGAAGGCAAGCCGCCCGTGCCACCGCTGCTTGCCGAGCTCCGCCAGCTACCATGGAAGCGCCGAGCTCGGGAGTATGGGAGGGCTGTAGTTTTTCAAGCTTTAGGCTTGGGGCCTAAACCCTAAACCCTAAACCCTAAACCCCTCTAAACCCAGGGTTTGGCAGAATTTCAGTGTTCAGCGGGCCGTCTCGCTAGGGTTCATGGCGTGTGGTGGTCGACCCCTGCAACCGAGACCCTAAGCCCTAAACCCTACACCCTAGACCCTAAACCCTAAACGCTCCCAAGGAGTGCCTTCTTTGCCTGGGCGATCTTGGTCACCCTGGCTGTCAGCGTGCCTCTGACTTACAAATTCAGAATCTGTAAGTCAGTTCACCAAAGAGTTTCTTTTTTGAACTTAGGACTTTGGTTCCCTATGGAAAGGCCTGTGCACGTAAGAACCTGCATGTCGAACATGTGTTTCAAGAATTTGTACGCGCGGAAGCTGAAGGATACCGTCTTCTTTTGCTGAAGGCGTAGGCGTATTTTGTGGGGCTGCTGGCAAATGAGTTTCAGTTTGCTTTGCTGTGGTGGGTTTTTGACCCGGGGTTCTCTTTGCAAGTGTAAAACGGCAGCCCTAAGATTCAAGAACCACCTCGAGGCTTAGGGAGTTTGAGGGTTTGGGAAACCCTAAACCCTAACTAGGCTGTGGTGAAGGCTTCGGATCTGACTGTCGGATGTGGGTCTCTGAGCTCGGAGGTTCTGGGTTTTGGGTCTCCGGGTCAGCAAATCAAAGGATTGCCCAGAAACCCTTATGAACACCCAGAGTACGACTACATGTGTGTTCTTCTTCCTCTCCTCCTCCTCCTCCTCCTCCTTCTTCTTCTTCTATATAAATAAATAAATACATAAATAAATAAATAAATATATATATATATATATGTATGTTGTTACATGTATTTCATGGTTTTCATAAGCACATACAACTATCGCATGTTGTTGATACCTCAATATCAACACAACCGTCCTAGGCCTTCAACCCCCCAAAACGTGCTCCTTCTAAACCCCAAACCTTTTTCTCCTCCCGTGCTCTTGAATAGAACCTAAAAGCAAAGACTTGAAACCATAACACCCTAGCAGATTCAAGTCCCCAAACCCTCATGACTCATACCCCACTACATACTTTTCAAGCTCAAACCCTACGACCCCAAAGCCCTGAACCCCATCCGTTCAGTGGTTGGAAGGCGCTGGTCTACCCCAAGCTCCGCGAGGCGATAGGCCTCTCGGTGGAGGTGCAGCTGGGCTTGTGACTTTGAAAGCTGAGGTTTAAGGTCAGGGGGTGCAATGCTCATGATGGTTTCGGCTTCAGGGTTGAGGGCTTCGGAAGGTTTGCCTAGACCGCTCAAGCATGAGGCATCTCTTGAGATGGTATGAATGCTCTCAACAGCATATCAAAACTAATTTAATGATGTTATGTAATGATATGATATGATTACCATGTTATGATAACTTAAATATTGATTTAATGAGTATAATAAATGAATCAAAATTGGATAAAATACTCTCAGGCCTCCATCAAGGGGTACTGATGGGGGCGGGAAGGTGGGGCATGGGGTTTAGGGGTTTGACAGTGCTTGAGTGGAGAAGAGCATGTAGGATTGAGCATGGTTGTTGCAGACCAGTTCCAGGTTTGCCCCCACTCGCACAAGGCCCCCCCACCCCTTCATCCGTTTTGACAGATCGAGCTGCCCGAACATATCCTCCTCTTGGGTCTGGGCGGCATGGCTTCTTGGCGCATGAGTCTTCAAGAGACAGCTCCCTGTGTGTAGAGTGGTGAAGATACGTCAGAGATCATTCCGGGCCTCCACTTTCTACGAAACCCTAAACCCTACACTCTACAGTCTCGACATCCCTGTGTCAGCTAAACGACCATGCTTCGAAGCTGGGCTGCCTCAAAGAGCGTAGCGTCGTGAGGCTGGCGTGCAGAGGGATGCCATTCCCTTGTGTTTTTGCCAGCTAAAATCGTTTGTTCGTTGTTTTTGTCTTAAACCCCTTCTGCTGGAAGCCCTCTTCTGCCAGTGGTTGTCAAATCCCTGGTGGCCCAAACCTATTCTCCCAAAAGGCCCCCCGGCAACCTCAGTGCTCGAGGATTTACAGGGGGGTCCTACCGTGCGAGGCTCTCGCGGATCCTGAAGAAGCCCCAAACCCTGAAACGCTGAAACCTGACTGCCCTGCGGAAGCCCCGCCCTAAACTTCGACACTCACAGAGCTCTATGGTTTCTACATGTACCTAGTGCGCACCCAACATCTCTCGGTTTTTAAAGCCGGGTGCCAACGAAGCGCCTGACCAGTTCACGGGGCTCCAAGAATGATGGTGGTCATGGATGTGCAGCCCATGTTCAAGATCTCCCATGCACAAAGCCTTGGTAAACCGCTGAACTGCACCATTGATACACTGCCTCTCTCTCTCTCTCGCTACACATCGGTTGCCGAGGTGGCTTCGTCCGTCCTGACGCCCTTAGTGCCCAGGGCCCAGACTTCATTGTAGTTGCGAGGACTTGGCGGTTTGACGGCTCAGGGCTCGACCTCAGGGTTTTGGGGCAACATTTGCTGCTCTCTGCAGTGCCCCGGATATGTCACAATCACCCTGGACGTCGCAACTATCTTTACGAGTCGGTTCACCCAGGTGTCCTATAGCTTCCCTCCACAAAACGTCCAAAAACTAGGCCCTCTTCACGATCTATGCTGCAACGTCTTGCGACTTGTGATACACTCGTGTACGGTGATCTACTACGATCATGTTTCTATACTGTGCAGCAGCTCTCTGTCATAGTCTCAGTTACCCTAAACCCTAAACCCTAAGCCCTAAACCCTAAACCCTCTTTCCTAGGCTGGCCTTTGCTCCGGCTGGGCGCCGGGCCCTGCGAAGAGTACCCCGGCAATTCCATGGGTTGGTGTGTGGTGCAAGGTTTAGGGTTTAGGGTTTAGGGTTTAGGGTTTAGGGTTTAATTGGGGTTTAGGGTTTTAAGGGCTTCCTGGGACTTTCTTTGCAAATTAGTAGGTTGGGCCCATAAAGCTGTAGGTAAAGAGGGTCCCAGGTCGGTAGTTAGTTGTAGGGGCTTCCTGGGACTCAATTTGCCGACAGTTTGGTAGTAGTTACCCTTAACTAGTACTTATGACCCATAAAACTATGGGTAAAGGGGGGCCAAGGTTGGTTGTTAGTTTTGATGGTTTCGACTCGGGCAAGATTCGGGTTTACGTTCTCATGTTTTGGGTGTGGGAGAGGCTTAGAGGTTCCGCGGACCCTGGCATGTGGGGAGTGGTACATTTCGCAGGGTGTTGTGGCACTTCTCAGAATATGCAACTCAGGAGCGCAAGTTCAGGGGCTCCCGGTTTGCTCCGTCTAAGGTTCCAGTTTTTTTGGGGGGTCGTAGCTTCGTGTCCTCCCGAACCTGCGGGGGGCTGCCCTGAAGCTTCTGACCCAGGTCAACCGCCGCAGCGGGTTTTGCAACCTGGCGCGATCAAATCCGGGAGCCGACAGACATTAGAGCACAAGGGGTTTATAGAGTTTACAGGGTTTAGAGGGTTCACATTCGAGGGTTTATAGGGCTTACAGGGTTCTAGGTTGATAGGGTTCCAGGTGTTGGGGTTCAGGGTTTTGGGGTTCATAGGGTCTTCGGGTTTTAGAGTACCGTTCCCGTATGATTCCCTTGTGACGACGAGGTTGGGTATAATTACGGCTTACGGGTGGGGCACCGTCGTAGCCGTTAGCCAAGGCACATGCAAGGCCCTAAACCCTAAACCCTCAACCCTCAACCCTCAACCCTCAACCCTCAACCCTCAACCCTCAACCCTAAACCCTAAACCCTAAACCCATAGGGTTCAGGAAGGCAGCCAGGGAGCCGTGCATCGGCCATGCAGATTTCTGGCCCTGTGCTTCAGGGGCATGCTATCTTGAGCTAAACTTGGGGTTTAGGATCCTTCTCCTAAACCCAGTTTGTGAGTTAGGTTCCCCTTTTTAGGGTTTAGGATCCTTCTCCTAAACCCAGTTTGTGAGTTAGGTTCCTTTTTTGGGGGCCTGCTTCTTGCCAAGCAAGGGCTTTGGGATGTTTTGGGGGCTTCGAGGCACAAGGTCGCATGGTACCTATGCGGGTGGGGAGTCGACCCTCATCCATGCTCCATTGGGGGTTGATCTAAATTCTGGGCCCGCTCTGGCACCTGAAGCATGAGGAATATTTTGAGACACACCTACATACCAGCATATCATTTGTATATATGTATACATAATATGTTTATATTAATTATCTTCGTTACATATACAATGCATATACCTTGATCGCTGTGGCGTTTAGAGTGGGGTAGAAGAGAGAGAGATATATATATATATATATATATATATATAATATACATATGTACATATTTCTATCTATGTATGTATGTGTTTAGTGACAGAGACAGAGAGCGAAACTGGTACAATCTGACTCTACCCTGTACACGGCCCTGTAGTAGTGCCCTTAAGGCGCCAGTAAGCGCGAGGTCTGCATGGAACATCCTCCTTGCCATGACAAGGTTCAGGCTTTACGAGGCTTAGGTCGTTCCGGCCCCTGCGTCTTCAGCTCCCTAAGTTGAAGAAAGCATCCTTAAGACTCTTACTAACTAAGGGGTACTTGGGTGGTTCAGGCAAGAGTTGATTCCTACAGAATTGAAGCCTTTAATCTCTTGAGCCCCAACTTAAACCTCGAAGCCCTACCCCATATTCCTGGGTGCCCCGAGCCGAAAATCCTGATCCCTCAACTCCCTCAACTTTAGAATCTACGAAACCCAAGCAGCCTAAACCCTAAACGGCCTTAAACCCTTACACCCCAAACCCTTACACCCCAAACCCTAAACCCCAAACCCTAAACCCTAAACCTTCTACACCCTAAATCCTAAACCCTAAAAACCCTAAACCCTAAACCCCTAAACTCTAAGCCCTAAATCCTACACCCTAAGCCCTAAACCCATAAGGCACCAGCCTCCTGCGGGCCTTTGCTTTTTCCTTCTTCGCGCACTTCTGCGCTTCGCTGTGCGTCGCCTTAGCCGACCTTCGACTCAACGAAGCGGTTTAGGGTTAAGGGTTAAGGGTTTAGGGTTTAGGGTTAAGGGTTTTAGGGCTGAGGGTTTAGGGTTCAGGTTCAGGGTTTCGGGTTTAGGGTTCGGGGTTTCGCTTTTAGGGTTTGGTGTTTGGGGGGAGAGGGTTCAGCAGGGTTTGGGTTTCGGGCTCGGCTTTGGGGTGCAGAGACTCGGCAGGGTTGAGAGCTTGTCAGGGTCTTGACACTTGAGAGGGTTTAGAGTTTAGGGTTTCGGGTTAAGGGTTTAGGGCTTAGGATTTAGGGTTTAGGAATTAGGGGTTAGGGGTTAGGGACTAGGCAACTGAAAGTTTGGGGCTGGGAAACATGGGTTTTAGGTCTAAGGTTGAGCAGGTTGAGGGCTTAGGGTTCCATTGTGGCCTGTGGGTTCATGACGGCTTGATCACCCCGTATCTACAAAATTGTACTATGCCCTTTGTTGCCATTGAAAGCCTGCAATCCACCGGACACAAGTAGATGGTTGTGAGCTTCCTGGTTTTCAGTTTGGGGTTTAGGGTTTAATTCGGTTCAGGGTTCAGGGTTTAGGGTTAGATTGCTACACCCATGCAGTATCTCGATGGACACGGCATTGTCATTGCATCCTTCCTCGCAAACCACGCAGAGTTCAGGACTTGTGCGCTTCACGCTTTAAACCTAAACCAGGCCCTTAGCCGCTTGCACCCGAAACCCTAAACCCTAAACCCTAAACCCCAAACCATGATCGGGGGTCAGGGAGTGGTTGCGATGTTAGCAGAAGGAGACACCGAAACCACATGGTATCATGTATAAAGCCTTGTCGGACTTTATGGGTCGTTCTACACGTTAGGGTTTAGGATTTAGGGTTTAGGGTTTAGGGTTCAGGGCATTTAGGGTTACTCGGCCAACCCGGGACACTTTCACAGTTACAAGGAGGTTTTGCGAGCTCTGGCATTTTTTTGTTGACGGCGTACGGGCACCCCAAAGCATAAGGCATATAGACCGCTGTGGAGACCCAGGAAGAAGGGCCCATGATTTGGATCAACCCCATGACGTCCACTCGTCGACTTTGGCACGAGACACTGCTTTTCCAAAGGTTTCGTCAAGCCTTGAACCCCTTGCAGGAAGGCATCCGGCACCGCAGTCCCCTGCTCCCAAGACGAACCCGCCTCCCTCTCCTCCCCCTCTCCCGGCCCAAAACCCCTCAACCCTAATTCCTAAACTCCACACCCACACCCGAACCCTAAGCCCTACTTGGAGGTTCATGGTACTTATTAACCAATCATAACTGTACTTATCACCCACTTTTAAGCCCGTTAAGTGCCCTAACATGGTTATAAGTACAGTTATAAGTACAGTTATATATATATATATATACAGTTGTACGTACAGTTATAAGTACAGTTAAAATTGTTTAAAAAGTACTATGAACCTCCAAGTAGACAACCGGCAGCAAGGCGCATTTGGTGATTTTCCTGGTCGTGCTCTTCCTGGCCTGGGCAGTGGTGAGCCTGGCCCGCTGTCCCGGAAGGCCCGGGGGGGGGGGGGGGGGAGGTTTTTCGGGTTTAGGCTTTAGGTTTAGTTTTTAGGGTTTGGGGTTTAGGTTTAGGTTTAAGGTTTTCAAAAATTGGGGGGGGGGGGGGGGGTGGCGGCAGGAGCAAGGGCGATGGCAAAAAATTCTGCTGGGCAATCCAAACAAAATCCCTCAAACCCTTGGCCGCTAAACCCCGCAGCCTCAAATCCTGGGTCCCTAAGCCCTTCAGAGCTGCAACTCCGAATCCCAGACTCCGAAACAGGCGGGAAGTTCCTTTTTTTGGTAGGTTCTTACTATAAACTACTATAAACCACTTTGTAGGGTTTTTAGGTAGCCTACCAAAAAAATCTAGGTTTTGGGTTCTTAAGGTTGCCCCTAAACCCTAAATCCTAAACCGCCTAAACCCTACACCCTCAACCTCAATCCCTAAACATACAGCCTAAACCCTAAACCCCTAAGCCCTCAACCCTAAACCCAGGCGGAAAGTTCGACCACCCCCAGACCCAGCTCGCCCGGATCGCCGCGAGGCACCCTTTGAGCGATGGGTTGAGGTTGAACGGCGGAGACTTAGGGTTTAGTGTTTAGGGTTTAGGGTTTGGGGTTTAGGGTTTAGGGTTTAGGGTTTAGGGTTTAGGGTGGAGGGTTTCTCGGGTTCAAGGGCCAAAGGTTTTTGTGGAGTCAAGCGGATCTGACTTATCTTGGCTAAAAAACCAAAACCCTAAACCCTAAACCCTTAAACCCTAAGCTCTAAACCCTTAAACCCTAAGCTCTAAACCCTAAACCCTAAACCCTAAACCCTAAACCCTAAACCCTAAACCCTAAACCCTAAACCCTAAACCCTAAACCCTAAACCTTAAACCCTAAACCCTAAACCCTAAACCCCAAAGCCTAAGCCCTAAGTCCCAAACCCGACTATAGGACAGCCAGGTCGGCCGCTGGGACTTTATCTATCCTGGTTCTTCGTAGGGAATGAGGGAATTAGATACCTTGTATCTTATATCTCCCTATATATATACCCTTAAACTTTAAGGGATTATATCGGGTACCTCATTCCCTCCTTCCCTCCTATTGAGGTTTAGGGTTTGGGGCGGACACCACACGAAAGAGAGGTTAGGGGCGCCCCAGCGCCCTAATTTTAATGAGCTCTAGGAGCCTACAACCCTAACAGCCACAAAGCCCATGAAGCCCTAAACCCTGCAACCACCATGCCTTGTAACCCCTAAGTCTCAGAACCCCTATAAGGCTTCTCAACCCTAAGCCCTCCGGCCTCAACTCATTTTGCTCGCAGATCTACATGTTCCTCGCGATGACCCCCCTCCTCGGGCTTCTGAAGGCCGCGGGAGCCCAGGTCTAATCTTGGGCGTAGAGGGTCTCTAGCACTGGCAGGATTTGCTTGATGAGGTATGTTGGGGGTGTAGGGGACCCTAAACCCTAAACCCTTATCCCTGAACCCTGAACCCTGAACCCTGAACCCTGAACCCTAAACCCTAAACCCTAAACCCTAAACTATAAACCCTAAACTAGAAACCCTAAACCCTGAACCCTGAACCCTGAACCCCAAACCCCAAACCCCAAACCCTAAACCCTAAAACCTAAAACCCAAAACCCTAAACCCTAGCTGGGATGTTTCGGGGGCTTGTAAGGGCTTTTGGGCTTCTGGCGCTTCTGGGTTTCTAGGGTTACCCTCCCAAGCGGCCCTTCAAAAGGGGGGCCTTGGGGGGGGGGGGGGGGATACTTTCTTCGGTGCTTGGGGTGTCTTCACGTGGCAGGAATGAGGGCCTAGTAGGGTGGATTTTGTTTTTTTTCCGGTAGCAGGGCGTTGAGCTCTCCCTAAACCCGAAACAAAAGTGCCAAACCCTAAACCCGAAAATCCCAAACAGGTAGTTCTCTTTCTGGCCATCTTCCTCTTTGACTGCGCCTTCCTTGACCGCTTTGGTCTGGGCTCGGGTGGCCAGGTGGGGTCGGGGCCGAGAACCGCAGTTTCAGATCGAGGTTTGAGAATGAGGGTTTAGGGTTTAGGGTTCAGGGTTTTAGGGTTTAGGGTTTAGGAAGGATTTCTGGGTTTAGGGCCTGGGTTGAAGGATTTTGGGTTTAGGATTCTGGTTTGGGGCTTGGGTTGAAAGATTTTGGGTTTAGGGTTGTGCCGGGTTTGCTTTCCTTGGTCTAAGTACCAGGGGTTTAAGGTCTCAAGACACTATTGGGAAGGGGGGGGGGGGAAGCCACGTTTTCAATGACTGCATCCAAAGGGGGCTGTGGGTTTGGGGCTTAGGGCTGAGGGGTGCCCAACCGAGCCCATCCCATGGTCTTCATTCAGGGGAGGCCAGATCTGCTTTCGGAGTGGGCTTAGACTCCAGGAAGCGCAGAGAAAGCTTCACCTCCTTGACTGGTCGGTTTGATATAGAGCCATGAACTCTTGCCCTAAACCCTGAACCCTAAGCCCTAAGCCCTAACCCCTAAGCCCTAAACCCTAAACCCTAAACCCTAAACCCTAAACCCTAAACCCTAAACCTTGGGGCAGCGTGACGGGTATGCGTTGAGGCTGGTGCTTGAGTTGACGACTTAGGGCTTCCAGGGTCTTGGGGGACTCTTGGGGTGTTTTGGGGTGTTCGGGTCCTAGGGGTTTAGGGTTTGAGGGTTGAGGGTGGGTTGTGGGAGCTAGGACTCTTCAGAAATTCGAGCTTTGGAGTTTCACGGTTCGTTAGGGGTCGCATTGGGACCGTGGCTCGCGCACGTACATGCATGTGAATGCGCGTGTAGACGTTCCACGTCTGTTCCACAAGATGTTGAAGTTGGACCCCAGAACCCACTGACGGAATGGCTGAAGTCCACTTAGGAGGGGGGGGGGGTGAGGGCGAGAAGGCCGTAACCCTCAACTCCAAACCCAAATAACCCTAAAAGCCCCAAACCCCCAAGAAAAACCCTAAACCATGAGAGGCGTCTCTCGTCCCAAGCCACTTGCATGAAGGCCTTCGTCTTAGTCCAGGAGGGCGGCGTCTGCGGCGAGCATGGATCTAAGCTATGGTCTTGCCAAGTTACAGGTTTCTCATTTTCGAGTTGTTCGCCTTGAGCCCTATAAACCCTAGGCCCTGTGAAGCTTAAACTGTCTCAACCTTATTTCTCTACTGCCTGTCGAAGTTGTCCTTCCAAGAACGATATGTTTGGGGGGCAATTAGGGGGAAGGCCTCGTGTTGTGGACGGAGAGATTTAGTTTAGTTTCCACCGACCTTCAAGGTCAAGCTCGAACTTCGTTCTGTCTTAGTCTAATAACATATAATTACATCAGCAGCCCTGTGATCAGTAGAACAAAACCACGATCCCCGGACAGAAGGCAAAAGAATTGAGGTGTATGGGCCTTCCTTTCCGGGTCTTTGCCAAGAACATACGCATTGGTGCTCAACTTTTCTTCAGGATTGAATCGAAGGGTGCCCTAAAACCCCAAAACCCGAAGCCATAAACCCTCCTGCTTTGTGAATACTGTTGCCCTGAAGACGACGCGCTGTATGCGGGATCCCGGTCACTACGCTCATAAACAAACGGTCGGGCTTTTGCTGCTGTGCTCTGGTGCCCTCATGTCAGTTGGCCTCTCCGACTCAAGAAGCAAGGAGCTGGGTCAGGGTTTGGGGTCTAGGCTGAGGCTCAGGTTTCACGGCATTGCGGCATTGACCGCTGCCATTCCCCAAAGAACCTGCAGAAAAGACACAGAATCCGAGATCTCCGAGTCCAACCCTTCGAACCCCCGAGCCCTACAACTGCGAAACGGCGCACTCTCGTTGAAGCAACCTATACCTTACAGCATTCAGACAGGGACTGACGTCCGGGCCCTGAACCCTAAGCCTTCACTATCACGCCTCAAGCTTACATCATTATTCCCCGACCACGAGCTGCCATGGCATTGGCACACCCTGCGCCGAACAGCCGGGTGAGCAACACGAGGCAACCCTCAGCCCCCAAAATGTGGGTTTCCGAAAATAGGGGTACCCGTTTTTGGGGTTTCCCTTGTGAAGGAGTATAGTACTTTGGGGTATACTAGGGGTCCCTTATTGTCGTACACCCCTAAACTGCAACAGTTGGGGGGCTGAATTCGGCGTTTTGCTCCCAAACCTTGAGCCTGAGAAATTAGGGCCCAGGGTAGCCTAAACCCTAAACCCTAAAAACCCTAAAAACCCTAAAAACCCTAAAAACCCTAAAGACCCTAAAACCCTAAACCCTAAACCCCAAAAGAAAGGCACTCTGGGCCACTTGTCAGGGGGAATCTTGGGGCAGTTCAAGTGTTTGGATCGGCCTTGCAAGCTGGCAGTAGGACATTAGGGAGTTGGGCACTTTGTACCCTATTTAAAAGAACCCTCTGAGGTTTAGGGTTTAGGGTTTAGGGTTTAGGGTTTAGGGTTTAGGGTTTAGGGTTTAGGGTTTAGGGTTTAGGGTTTAGGGTTTAGGGTTTAGGGTTTAGGGTTTAGGGTTTAGGGTTTAGGGTTTAGGGTTTAGGGTTTAGGGGGGACTCTATCAGGAACCTAATGCCCTGGTTCCCTGCCAAGACCTCTGAGAAAGTATTGGTGCAGCCAGGTGTCGCCTGGAGTTCTTCTTTGGGTTTTCGTCTTGTTTTTGCTGGGGGGAGGGGGGTGGGGTCCTTTTTTTTGTGCATGAAGCCCCAAAGCAACCCCCTTCCAACTTCTACGACGGACCAACTCGGGCGGGGCCTTTCAAGGCTTGGTGGGCCTTTGTGGTTTTTGCCCGGGAGTTGGGGGTTTGGAGGTTTAGCAGTTCAGGGGGCGTAGGATTTAGGGGTTCAGGGCTTCGGGGAGTTTCGCTCTGGCTGAAGGGTCCTCGGCCCCATCCCCCTGTCTCCGCCCCGCAGCGCTCTCCAGAAGGTTGCCTCTGGCACGGCCAGCCCCCCGCAGTCGGTGGGTCGCGCGGCGGGCGCCCCTTGGAGAAACGAGAAACTCCCAAACCCAATGTTCTTAGGGTTCCCCTAAACCCTAAACCCTAAACCCTAAACCCTAAACCCTAAACCCTAAACCCTAAATAAACCCTAAACCCTAAACCCTACCAGGGGCTTTTTGGAGCTTCATGAGGGGTAAACCCCAAGCCCTACGTGCCCGAAAAGCACTCTACCCTGAATGCCATGGATATCCCAGAGGCCCTTCACTTAAAGACACACTGAGCCAACCCCTACACCATGCTAACGGGGCAGTGTTGTAATCAGTGTTGTGCAGGTTTTGGGCATTCTTGTTCAGGGTTGGGGGTGGGTTGGGTAGTTCTCCTCTTCCCTTCAGGACGTATGCTTCACTTGTAAATAATTGCATTGGCTGGATGTTAGCTTCTGGGAAGGGCCAATTTGCCAATTTTGCTGCTGCTTCTGCTGCTGCCGCTGCCCTGCACCTCTCCCTCTCCCTCGCCCTCTCCCTGTTGCCTGTTCAGCTCTGCCTCCCGTTCTCTGTCTCTTTCTCTCTCTCTCTCTCTCTCTCTCTCTCTGTCTCTCTCGCCCAGCTTTTTTGGGATAGTAGAGTATAGAGGCATCCCAAGGTAGCCCCTGAACAGAAAACGCATAGGAGCTTGCTAGGCGCCTTCGCCCTCCGACCCAGCCCTCCTTCTTCCAGCAGTCGAGCCTCCACCTCCTCGGAAGATGTCCGGCCAAGGCTCGCAAACTCAAGCCAGGATGACATCGCCAGGGCCCCCACGTGGAAGGACACCCTGAAGGCTGCCTGTGCAGGGCTGCAACTCCCAAGGTTCAGGGTTGGGGGTTTAGGGTTTAGGGTTTAGGGTTTAGGGTTTAGGGCGTAGATTTTTCGGAGTCGGGTTTTCAGGTTTAGAAACCCCTCCTCCCAGCTTTGGAAGTGGCTTCAGAGCTTTCCCAGTAGCAGCCTTGTGCCCTCTTTCTTGTGCGGCTCAAGGTTCCCTTGTAAAGTAACCAGCCCCCCTAAACGGGTACCCTTGTTATCATATAGTTCATGAGCTACCGAGCGACTTTTGGTGTGTTTTCATTCCTCAGGTTTCAGTTGCATCTGGGGCTGATGTCGCGCTATTTTTGGTCACAAGTCCCCAATGTTTCTTCTTTTCCGAACACCCATAAGAACCTAGAACGCCTAAACGAGTTCCGACTTCTTTCCTAAATCATTTAGGGATTCTTTAGGCTGTCATACCCTCCGGGCGTGCGGGCTTCAGATGCCCTAGGGCCCTAGGATCCCCGAACCCCAGCCTTCGGCAGGGCGCCCTATTCTGGGCGAACCCGGACCATTGGGACAAGGCGCACATCCCCCAAAACCCTCATTTTTCCCCAGGAACCGCTGAGCCCTATAGAAACCCCAAAGCCCCCAAGCCCCAAGCCCTTTAAAGCCCCCATCGTTCCCAGAGTTGAGGGCTCGCGGCTTTTACGCCCGCGCCTGTCCCTGCGAGACTATCTGTTGGGTGAACCCTAAAACCCTATAACCCCTACACACCCTGCACGCCTTAATCCTTAAAACTCAGCCCTGCTTGTCAAGCCTAGGCATGGCTCTGGGGATGCACGAAGCCAACATGTGCATCCCCCTTGCCACCCCCATCCCTGTGGCGCTCAGTGAGACTTCGCAGGTGCCAAGATCCCCCTACCTGAGATTCACCTTCATGTTCCTCAAAGTCGCCTGGGGCCCCAGGGAAAAGTCAAGGAAGGCTGCGTGCCAAGGGCCTGCAGGTCACAAGCTCGTAGGGAGGATCTTCAAAAGCTTTATGAGAACTAAAGTCCCTAAGGAGGGTCAACCCTCAAGGCCTAATCCTTGGACACTAACCGGCCGTGATCCCCCAAGGCCCGAAGCCCTCAACCCTTCAGCCCTCAGTCCTCAGCCCTAAGCCCAAGCAAGCCTCTAGCCCGAAACCCGAAAGACCCGAGACCCTAGACCCTGAGCCCTAAGCCCTAAACCCTAAGCCCTGAACCCTAAACCCCTAAGCCCCTAAGCCCTAAACCTAACCCCAGGTTGGGACCATTGGCGGCTACCGAGGCCGTGCGGCCTTCGCACGGAGGCACCTGGGATTTCGGATTTCTGGGCATTTAGGGTTTAGGGCTTAGGGTTTAGGGTTTAGGGTTTAGGGTTTAGGGTATAGGGTTTAGGGGACTTTTATGGGGCTTACGAAGGGTCTTGAGGGTTGTAGGGTGTCAGTTCTGATTTCTGGACACTGTTATAGTGCCTACTAAGGGTCTTGAGGAATTCTTCTTGGTGTAGGGTGTTAGGCGTTCAGGGCTTCAGGGTCTTAGAGAGTTTTGGGAGCTCAGGGTTTAGGTTCGTTTTTTGTTGTTTGGAGATGGCGGGGAGGGGGTCGGGTGGCAGGAATCCTCCTCGTCGCAACCACAGGCCCTACGAAAGAATCCGCGGTCAAGAAAGTCGGAATCCTCAACCTTAGCCCTTAAAACCTCAACCCTAATAACCCTAAACCAGACAACTAGGGGCTTGTAGTGTTTACATATATATATATATATATAGGCTAGGGACCCTTGCTTGTCCTAAACCCATAAACCCTACAATCCCGATAAAGCTGATAAAGCCGACAAACCGGTATGCCCTAAACCCCCCAAAATCCCAAAAACCCCAAAGCCCAAAGCCCAAACCCGAAACCCCAAACCCCAAAAACCCCAAACCCCAAACCACAAAAATCCCAAACCCCAAAACCCAAACAAGACCCTGAGCCCTATTAACCTACACTCCCGAAACCGAGTAAGGAGTGGCCTCAAGGGCCTCATGCAGCGGCGCGAGAATGCTCTGGCGGCCCAGCCTGCTTTCGGCAGGGTTTAGGGTTTAGGGTTTCGGGTTTCGGGTTTATGGTTTCGGGTCATGGTTTCGGGTTCGCCTTTAGGGTTTTGACTGGAGTTCGCGGTTAATATAACGTCCGGTGGAGCCCCCCCCGCCTACCTGCATCCTCAACTACCTGTTATTTTGGAGGGCTGGCCCCTCGATTTCGGGGGGTTTCGGGCTTAGGGTAAGACTACGACTGCTTGCAGCTTCTGTTCGAGACTCAGGAACAACACTCCCTAAAATCACATGCAAAAGCAAAACATCGCAAAAGCCCTAGAATCACACACGAAAATCCCTGAGAACTCCTCGAGCCCCCGACGCCCCGAGCAACGCAACCCTGTGGCTTCTTTTTGCAGAGAAAAAGGCTACAGATATAGGATTAGGGTTAGGGGTTACAGTGATATGCCGTAGAAGACCTCCAGCCCTACAGCAAGCCAGGCCGTCGTGCAGATGGCATATGAGGCGGGGTTCGGGTCTCTCTAGTTGAGTCTAAAGGCTTCAGTCAATATGGGGTTCGGAAGAATTACTAATGGTGTTCCCTTATGGCCCCTTTATATGTATGCTATCATAACCTCAGGCCCTTGTATTAGGTGCCTGGGGTTTGGGATTCAGGGTTGCTCCGAGGGTGGGCCCTAAACCAAGATGCCTCGGCAGCGACAACGGTCCTGGCTTGATGTGGCCAGCGCCGAAATCGTTGGGGTGCCACGGGCGATTCAGGGCTCTTGGCTCTCAACGTCGCTGGGACGACCTTCCCAACACAACTCTTCTTTAAGGCTTGGTCTTCCTAAGCCGGGAGGCAAGCAGCCATAGCAAAAACGAAGCAAGACCTTTGTAACTCCAGATCCCCTCCCAGAAGCCGCGTGAAACCCTCCAAGCCGCGACAATCCAAGCCCCGAAACCCTAAAACCCGAAACTCATCCCCAAACCTTTGACTTGGAACCCGAAACCCTAAACCCCAAATCTTTAAACCCTAAACCCGAACCCCTAGACCCAAAACCCCAAACCTCAAAACCCTAAACCCTAAACCCTAAACCCCTAACATTTGTAGAGAGCAAGACCCGGGAAGATGAACGTCGACGCCTTCCCCGCGGCAGCGGAGCGCCTCCGCGCCGCAGCCAAATCCGCGAAGTGGGGAGGCGTCCTGGGGTTTAGGGTTTAGGGTTTAGGGTTTAGGGTTTAGGGTTTAGGGCTTGGGGTTTCGGGTTTGGGGGTTGAGGGCGGAGGGTTCAGAGCTTCAAGGTTTGCCAGGGTTTTCTTCAGGGTTGAGGGTTCAAACTTAGCTGAGCTCAATACTTCGAGCATCCTTGCCACAGGCGTCATGAATCTGAGGCAGCGGCCCCTAAAGCCGCTATCCCTAAACCCTAAACCCTAAACCCTAGACCCTAAACCCTAAAACCCTAAACCCTAAACCCTAAACCCTAAACCCTAAACCCTAAACCCTAAACCCTAAACCCTAAACCCCTGTGAGCCCTGTGGCTCCAACAAGTTGCAGCCGACTTGGGGAGGCGTCAACTGCGTGGCTGTCATCCTTCCGTGCTACGCGCGCAGCAAGGAGGAGCCAAGGGGTCCGAGCGCAAGCAGCCGTCAGCTGGGAGTTGACAGGGAGGTTTAGGGTTTAGGGTTTAGAGTGTAGGGTTTTAGGGTTTAGGGCTTAGGGCTTAGGGTTTAGGCCATGAATTTCCTGAAGCCCTTAAAGTCCTAAAGGGCCCTAAAGCAGCTCAAGGATCCTGACCCCTCAAGCTCACGAGCCACAAGCCCGACGAGTCTACGCTTGAACCCCAAGGTTGAATCTAGAGACTCCGGAGATTATGGGGCCTAGACCAGAGCTCTGAGGAGTTGAGGGTTTCAGATTTTCGGTTTAGGGTTTAGGGTTTAGGGTTTAGGGTTTAGGGTTTAGGGTTTAGGGTTTGTGGCTTCTCTCTCCATGTCTCTCCCTCTCTTTCTCTCCACAAGACGACACACAAAGAGCACACGCCAGGCCAACGGGGGCTGGGCATTCTAGGGCTTCCGGGTTCGAGTTTCAGCTGTGGGATTCGCATGGGTTTGTAGCTTGGCCGAAGACCTTCGGCATCCTGGAAAGTCTGATGTTGTATGACCCCAAAGTCTTAGAAGCCAGGTTTTGGGCTTAGGGTTTAGGCTTTAGGGTTTAGGCTTTAGGGTTTAGGGTTTAGGGTCTAGGGTTGTGGGTTGTAGGGTTCCGGATGTTCTGAGAGTCAGGCCCCCCAGTCGTCAACTTCCGGGGTATTTCCCAGACTAGGGATACCCGTTTCCCCAAATAGAATAGAATCTCCCTTAAAGGCCCCCCAAGAAAAAACAACAAAAAAAACACAAATAGTAATAAAGGTAATTGCCCCTATTTTCGGAAACCCGCAAATGTTGTTCAGCTTTGACGGGTTTGATTGCAGTGCCTTTGCAGATCCAGACCTTAAGTGTCTGAAGTTGTCTGGGACGAAGAAGCAAAGGCCTGAAAGTCATAAGCTTCATATGAAAAGCTCAGAACCTGATAGGGTTTAGGGTTGAGAGTTTACTTCGGGTTTAGGGTTTAGGGTCTAGGGTCTAGGGTTTAGGGTTTAGGGGTTAGCATTTAAGGTGACTCATGTGTACCCCGCAATGCCCTCAACTATCAAAGGAGGTCAAGGAGTTGCGTGCGACGCTGCTGGCCTTGCAGGCACCCAGTATAAGGGCTTATGATATCTATCGGAATACCTCTCTTCATTCAACATAAACGAGAGAGAGAGATATATATATATATATATATATCATTTTTCATTCATGTATTGTCTATCGGAAGACATCTCTTCATTCAATATAACAGAAAGAACATTATGTTTGAATCTTATGGGCCTCCACCTCAAGGGCTCAAGAACGGTGTTGCAGCTTCAAGGCGTCAGATGGCTGTGAGCACGAGTTCTGTGGCGCAACATAGACCGCAGATTTCGTGAACTCTCCAGAGCTTGCAAGCTCACCTTCATGGGCATCATAACATCCCGAGCCCCATGGCCGGGCCGAGGTTCTAGCTCTTCATCATAAATACGCAGTAGGTAGATGCTTCACGGTGCGGTATGCGAAGCCATCTTCAGTGAAGAGGAATGCCTGACTGGGGACTATGAACCCTTCAACTCACTCTCGAAACCCAGAAGTCCTAACGCTAAAGTCTGACACGTGTTGGGAGTTCCCAGTCTTTGTTTTGGGGGGGGGGGGGGGGGTATGCTTCTTTCTGAGCTCGGGTTAAAGAAGAAAGATCGCTAGGTTTTTTGCCCCGGTATAATCTGGCTTGAGGTGCGAGGCAGCTGTGTTGGCAAACAATACTACAATCCAACAAAGCACCCTACAAAAACTCTAAAAACCCTACCAAAAACCCTCCCGACAACCCTACAAATCCCTAAACCCTATAAAACCTGCAAAAGCCCGATAAGGCCCTATTGGCAAACCCATACATAAAAGCCCCTATTACCCCCCCCCCCCCCCCCCCCCCCCCCCCCTTACCCCCCCGATACCCCCTCGTTAGACCAACCCCATAAACGCCCAAAGTGGACCGCCAGGCACAGAAGCGCCCCCCGGATGTGGTCGTTGTGGCAGGGGGGTCGGGAGTTTGTTGGGCACGTTTTTTGCATGGTTGGGTTTGGGGTTTAGGGTTCGGGGTTTCGGGTTTAGGGTTTAGGGTCTAGAGTTTGGGGCTGGATGTTTCTAGGGGGGGATGAGGGTTGTGGGGTTATGGGGTTGTGGGGTTCTAGCGTTACGGGGTTGCAGGGTTGAGGAGGCGCGGCTTTTTGGAATTGAGAGTTCGTTTTTGGTTGCTTTTCATCATTACATCATCACACTGACTGCATGAGCCAAGTGGGCATGGGGAGCTGGTCGAGTAGGTTTACAGGACCAGTGATCACTACAGCCGGAGCCACAAGGGGTTCAGGGTTTGCATGGGGGTCTAGGCCCACTACGGCATGCTTGGCAAAAGCAGGTGGACGACCATTCGCCCATCGACGCAACCGATGCGCTCAAGGCCCAGGGCCCAGCCGCCCATCAGGTTGGAGTCTTACCCCATGGAAGATCCCTGCACGACCCTTTGCCCCAAGTAAAGCCGTCAAAACCATCACCAAGGAAGGAGACGAGTTCGGTTGGCTTGAGGCTTCAACAGACTCTAAGGCTTAAGGACTTCACTAGGACTTAATTCGGAACCATGCCAGATGAGGCGTTAGAATCCCGGAAATCAACCCTTTCGGAGTGAGGGGTTACAGGGTATAGTCATCCATCCCTAAATCCTAAACCCTAAGCCTCAAACCCTCTTTCAGGAGTTCACCCTAAACCCTAAACCCTAAACCCTAAACCCTAAACCCTAAACCCTAAACCCTAAACCCTAAACCCTAAACTACAGGGTTTAAAAAGAGCCCATCTCCGGGTGGACGGAAGCGGCCCGTAGACAAGGCGTGGAAAGACCCCGAAAGCTTGGCCCATGCCGGAAGCTAAGTTAGGGTTTAGGGTTTAGAGTTTAGGGTTTAGGGTTTAGGGTTTAGGGTTTCAGGTTTCAGGGTTTAGGGTTTGGGGTTTCGGGTTTCGGGTTTTGGCATTGGGTTTTGGGTTTTGGGTTTGGGGGTTTGGGGTTTGGGGTTTAGGGTTTAGGGTTTGGGGTTTAGGCTGAGTGTCGATCTCTCTGCCTCGCAGCTAGGCTTCAGGGTTGGAGGGTTTGAGGGTTTGAGGGTTTGAGGGTTTGAGGGTTTGAGGGTTTGAGGGTTTGAGGGTTTGAGGGTTTGAGGGTTTGAGGGTTTGAGGGTTTGAGGGTTTGAGGGTTTGAGGGTTTGAGGCTTGGACTTTAAACTTAGGGTTCAGGGCATGGGGATCAGGCGTTTGTTCCTGGATGAAAATATCGAGTCTTAGAGGACAAATGCTTGGTAGTTCGTTTTGCAAGTGCCGCAAAAGCCTCCAAAGCTCTAAACTTCCAGCACCTCGACCCTACTTCTACAAGCCATCAGCCTACGCAGCCGGTACCCTAAACCCTAAACCCTAAACCCTAAGCCCTGAGCCCTGAGCCCTGAGCCCTGAACCCTGAACCTGAACCCTGAACCCTGAACCCTATACATCCTAAACCCTGAACCCTGAACCCTATACATCTAAACCCTGAACCCTGAACCTATACATCCTAAACCCTAAGCCTTAAGCCCCCCAAACCCTAAAATCCCTACACCCGAACCTCCCGCATGAGAAGCCTCCCCAAGGTCCAACTTTGGAAGAACGTTGGCCCAGCCGGAGCCCGCTCCGTGGGGCTGCGACTGCTGCGACAGTGGGCACAAGGCCAGGTTTAAGGTTTAGGGTTGATTTGGCTTTAGGACCCTCCAAGTACTCGCTATCAGTGTTACTTGTTGCGTGTTTCTTATGTGTTTTTGTTTTGTGTGTGTGGGTGCGTTTGTGTTTATGTTTGTTGTTCATTTTCCAGTTGTCCTTCGTGTTTGTGCTTCTGAGTGTTTTTGAATTTGTATTATTTCTTGTGCGGCGTTGTGTGCTGTGCCCTTCTACCTTTGCTGTAGAATGTAGACTTAAAATAAGCAGGTATTCTAATCCATGATTGCTTGTGGAGTTTAGGGGTCACATGCTTTGTTGCTTTTGAAACACGGCTCTTTCATGAACTAAGTTGGTGATTGCTAGGACCATCCGGCTCGAGCCTGGCTCGTCATTACAAAACAAGCATGAAACGTGAGCTGCCTCTCGTGTCCTAGACGAGATGCTACGCGTCCTAAACCCTAAACCCTAAACCCTAAACCCTAAACCCTAAACCCTAAACCCTAAACCCTAAACCCTAAACCCTAAACCCTAAACCATGTCAGGGCAAGAGATGGCTGCCATACCCAATGCCGCGAGCTTCGAGTCCTCGACTTTACCGTCACAATTCTCGAAACTTAAGACCCTAAACGCCAAACCGCTAAACTCCAAGGCATCCAAAAATCCCCTCTAATCACCCTAAACCCTAAACCCTAAACTCTAAACCCTAAACCCTAAACCCTAAACCTTACTGTATAAACCCTAAACCCTAAACCCTAAACCTGCTTATTCTTTGTGCAAGCTCCTCGAATGCAGGTCTGGACGTCGTAGTCTGCCTCACGGACAGCGACGCTGCGCCAGATCCGGGTTGGACAGAGGCGCTCCCGTGAGATTTCTGTTGGGGGGCGGGGGCAGGGGGTTAGGGTTTAGGGTTTGGGGTTTGGGGTTTAGGGTTTAAGATTTGGGGTTTGGGATTTGGGGGTTAGGGTGTGAATTTAGGGCTTATAGGGTTTATGGTTTGGTGCCCCAGTGGCGCTGAAACCCTGAAACTTTGAACCCTAAACCCTATTACCCTTTGTAAAAGCATGCCCCAACCCTAAGCCCTCGAATCTAGACTGTGCTGCGTCTGCCGCTTGTTTAGGGAAATAAGGCCCCCCAAGCCCTAAACCCTAAACCCTAAACCCTAAACCCTAAACCCCAAACCCTAAACCCTAAACCCTAAACCCTAAACCCTGTCTCATCGAAGCTCTTTCGGATGGCTGCTTCTGAGATTCAAAGGGAAGTTACATTGGCCCTTGAGATGGGCCTTTACCTTCTTTAAAGCGTTTGGGGTTTAGGGTTTAGGGTTTAGGGTTTAGGGTTTAGGGTTTAGGGGTTTAGGGTTTAGGGTTTAGGGTTTAGGGTTTAGGGTTTAACGAAGGTAAAGGGTTCTGAAGTATGGGCCCAGGGTTGTTTTGTGGTATATAAGGGGTATATAAGGGTTCCTCCAATCAAGGGCCCTTGGTTTTGTTGGGGTTTCCTCCAATTAAGGGCCCACAATAAGGGAGCATGTAACTACCCTCAGAAAGCTTACCCTGAGGAGTTTGCAGGGCTCCTGAGGGAAGGGAGGCAAGTAGCTGGCACTCCTGAAGGGTTTAGGGTTTCGGGTTTAGGGTTTAGGGTTTAGGGTTTAGGGTTTGCAGTTTAGGGTTGGGTTTAGGGTTTAGGGTTTAGGGTTTAGGGTTTAGGCTTTAGGGTTTACTCAGGCTAGTTCCCTAGTGGCCCCTCCTTCAAGCAAACCTAGCTAGCCTCCTCCCAGATAGCAAGAACTTGGGGTGTGAAGGCATAATCCCGCAACCCTAAGCAACCCTAAGCAACCCTAAGCAGCCCTAAGCAACCCTAAGCAACCCTAAGCAACCCTAAGCAGCCCTAAGCAACCCTAAGCAGCCCTAAGCAACCCTACTCAGCCCAAAGGGCCGAACTCGACCACCCTGTGCTTTCCTGGATTCGTAGAGAAATCTGATTGTGGGCCAGCTGCGGGGGGCAAAGAGGGGGTTGGGATTCAGAGACAGTCCGAGAGGTCCCTAAACCCTAAGCCCCAAGCCCTAAGCGCTAAACACTAAACCCTAAACCCTAAACCCTAAGCCCTAAACCCTAAACCTTAAGGTAAGCCCTGTGTACGGTTTTTGTGGGGACAGCTGGTGCAGGCCATGCTGAAGGCTCAGATCAAGAGGCCGGCAGCCCTAAATTCGGGTGTTTAGGGTTTAGGGTTTAGGGATTAGGGTTTAGGGATTAGGGGGATTAGGGTTTAGAGTTTAGGGATTAGGGTTTACGGGTTTCAGGACTCAGAATCCGGTGGTTCAGGGGGCTTTGGGGTCCTACGGTTTAGGGTACCAAAAGACACGAGAACTGAGATCATCCTCTTAATCTCACAAAGACATCCAAAGACCCGAAGTCGGATAAGCTTACAAGAGCTTAGGGTTAATCGGTGTTTGGTTCTCGCTTTTCCTCAGAGTGTATGGCGTGCTAGTGGTCCGCTTACATCCTGGAAAACCCAACTCTGTGAGCTAAGAACGCTCAAAAGCCCAACCCTGTACGTTAGGAGCACGTCTGAACCCGGAATCTATTCCTCCGTAACTAGCGCACTGTGCAGCTGCCGGGGTGCGCGACACTCGCAAGACGCACTAAGCCCTACACTTTGAACCCTAACCCCTACACCCTACACCCTAAACCCTAAACCCTAAACCCTAAACCCTAAACCCTAAACCCTAAACCCTAAACCCTAAGGATCCCTAAGTGAAGTCCTCCACCCCTAGAGGCGTGATTGCCAAACTTGATAGCACGGTGGAGAGACTGTAGAGGCTTCAGAAGTTCCTCCGGCAATATCGCAAAAGCATAGCGCGTTACGAGTATAGGGTTTAGGGTTTAGGGTTTCAGGGTTTTGGCAAAGTTTGAGGTGGCAGAGGGAGATGACGTGTCCTGAAGGAGAGTGACAAGAGGATTCCTTACACATTCCCACCTGCTGCACGTAAGGGGTATAAGGAGGGACCCTAGAAGGGACCCTTAATCTGTTTCCCCTATCTAACCCCTAGTTTTACCTTATATAGTCCCTACTATATACCTAAACTAACCACTAAAGAAAACCTTAAAGCCTTTAGTCCCTTGATGCACGGGCAGTCCTGGCATCGTGTCGGGTCCCACTATGTCGGTGGATCGAAGCACCATGGCTGGCAGGGGCACTTGCATGAGCATGTGGGGGGGGGGGTGTGGAAGTTTAGGGTTCAGGGTTTAGGTTTAGGGTCTAGGGTTTCGGGTTTAGGGTTTAGGGGAACATGCCAGAACAGGGAATCGAAGACCGACCATACGACAGATCAACCCCAATGTGTTGTTGCAGGAGGGTTTGAGGTCTAACTTGGTTTGGGGGGTTGGGGTAGAATGTCAATCTCTGTCCAGCGGATGTGCTTTCAGGGCGTCTCAAAGTGGACACGGATTCGGATTTTACGAAAGCGATCACCCCCCACGATGCGAAGCAACATCTGGAATATCCAGACAAGGTCACACCGGGCGCTTCCACGACCACTTTGGAAACCTGAATGGACGCACCTCGGCTGCCATGCTGTTTAGGGTTTAGGGTTTAGGGTTTAGGGTTTAGGGTTTAGGGTTTAGGGTTTAGGGTTTAGGGTTTAGGGCTTAGGGTTTAGGGTTTAGGGCTTAGGGTTTAGGGTGTAGGGTTTAGGGTTTAGGGCTTAGGGTTTAAGGTTTAGGGTTAGGGTTTAGGCCCTGGGATACCCAATCCCGGCATTCGGCCTACACTCCCTTCCCCCCACCTGCCCCCCCCCCCCCCGCCCCCCCAATAAATCGGCAGCTGCAAAGAGTCATTCGGTACCACAGAAGGTTCGAGCTAAACCCTAAACCCTAAACCCTGAACCCTAAACTCTAAACCCTAAACCTTGAAAAGGATGGACTTGGGATGACAAGCGTGACGTTCTGCTCTACGGCTGCCCCTTGGCGATGTAGAGGCGGCTTCCGGCTTCTTGGCAGGGGCGTGTCAGGATGTACACTACCAGTAGGGTTGGGGTTTGGGGTTCGGGGTTCAGGGTTCAGGGTTTAGGGTTTAGGGTTTAAGGTTTAGGGTTTAGGGTTTAGGGCTTGGGGGTTAGGGTTTAGGGTTCAGGGTAGTTTAGGGTTTAGGGTTTAGGGTTTAGGGTTTAGGGTTTAGGGTTTAGGGTTTAGGGTTTAGGGTTTAGGGTTTAGGGTTTAGGGTTTAGGGTCAGGGTTTGGAGGGCATATAGTCGTGTATGGGGGTCTGCTTCGAAGCTCCAAGTCATATTGCCTTCACTAGGCCCAAACATATCGACACCGACACCATCATGGAGCAACGGTGGGTAAGGCCCCAGAGCCCAAGTTGTGTGTTGACGGTATATAAGACCGCCTACTTTCTTCGTACTCAGGCATCCGGTCAGGGTCAAGGCCGTACACAGACCACCTGTGCTCCTCAATGTTCTCTTAAGGTTCGAAGGACCGAATCAAAAAACCCTGAAACCCCACGCTCCCGCAATCCGAAGTCGAACGCCGCCGAAGTAAACCCTAAACCCTAAACCCTGAACCCTAAACCCTAAACCCTAAACCCTAAACCCTAAACCCTAAACCCCTATACCCTAAACCCTAAACCCTAAACCCCCCTAAATCCTAAACCAGCCACTTAGGCACGTGTAACTTCAGCGTAGATCTGAACTCCATTGGCGATGCAGCTTGGCAGAAGACCTGAGGAGCAGGAGGGCTCCAAACACCCCGAAATCGTCACGCAGAAACAAAGGGTTTAGGGTTTAGGGTTTAGGGTTTGGGGTTTAGGGTCTAGGGTTTAGGGTTTAGGTTCAGGGTAACCAGTGGTTTGGTTCAAGCCACAACCCCGAAATCCTAAGTCAACCGCGAAGCCAAGCCGGAGAAAGCCGACCCAGCATCCTGACCTAGCCCGAACACCTCTGAACCCAACTAACCTGAAGCTTAAACCGACCCAAATCCCACACAGGTAGTGGCGGTGTTCACATAAAATTAGCTTACTGGAGTGCAAACAGAAACAAAAAGCACTTTACCATTGACAGAAGATTGTTCACACCGTGTGCAAATCGGCAAGCCAATGTTGCTCTGTAACCGGCGTGGCAAACGATCCGGAATAGACGTTGCCGAATGAATGAAAGTTTTTTGTGCGAAGGGATTGTGAATGTGAAAGCAGCTGTGTGGTTGGTAGAGTTGACCCCACCTCCCTAGAACACCCTGCAGATTTTTTGCAGATAGGGGGCATTGCACTACATTGTCAGCCCTTTTCGTAAGGTAACTTAGCAAGACAACCTGTTCTTAAGGGACCCACGAAAAGGGGCCCGAGAGTAGAAGAAGCCTCGAAAAAAGTCAGGCAGAGTTCGATCCGATCTTCTCCCGCCCCCTGGCTGCGCCTTCCAGGCTTGAGGTCCTTTAGGGTTTGGGATTTAATGTTTAGGGTTTAGGGTTAGGATTTAGGGCTTAGGGTTTGGGCATTTAGGGTTTCGGGGATGTAGGGTTTCGGGGATTAAGGGTTTTTGCGGGTTTAGGGTTTCGGGGGTTTAGGGTTTGGGGTGTATGGCTTTAGGCCTGTATAGGGGTTTATTAAGTCTAGAGTTGGGGTAACGAGGGTGTGGGTGTGAAAGCCGAAGGTTGGCCTCAACCTTTGAACCTAAACCCTAAACCCTAAACCCTAAACCCTAAACCCTAAACCCTAAACCCTAAACCCTAAACCCCAAACCCCAAACCCCAAACCCCAAACCCCGAACCCCAACGCATCCCCCGAGTCCAGGCCTTGTGGGGGTTGAGCGTTTCTGGGCACTCACCCTGGGGCGTTCCCCCTTATACTAACAGTCCTTCACAGGGAAAATAGTATGCCCTATTTAAATCCCTCTTAAGGACTGTTAGTAGAAGGGGGAACATCCCAACACTCGGCCCACTTTTGGAGGAATTCTGCACATGATGTAGGGTTTATAGTTAAGACGATTTGTATAGCCTTTTCTTCTTATTATTCCAAGGGAACGGCACCAGTTTTCAACTCTTCTTGTTGCAACGGAGGCGCTCCTGAACCCCGAAAAGCCCTGAACGCCTAAACCCTGAACCTCATATCCCGCCCTAATTTCTTAGTATGAAATTAGGTACCTTGTAGGGACTCTATAGGGTACCTCATTCCCCCCTACAAGGTACCTCATTCCCTCTGTCCCTACTAAGTAAGAATCAGTAAGTAATCCAGGCCCTGGTTTCGAGGACATCGAGTTCTGCTGGCGACTGCGGGTGGAGAGGGGCGTCTACACCAGGTCGCCGCTTATAAACCCTAAACCCTAAACCCTAAACCCTAAACCCTAAATCCTAAACCCTAAACCCTAAACCCATCTCTCTCTCTCTCTCTCTCGTGCTTTGCGGTCAAAAGTCTGAAGGCCATTGAAAACCATGGGCCGTAAGCATGGCCCGAGTAACTCGACAGCCCAAGCCCTAAAGCCGATAAACCCTCATGGACCAGCAGCTCTCCGTTTAGGGTTTAGGGTTTAGGGTTTAGGGTTTAGGGTTTAGGGCTTAGGGTTTAGGGTTTAGGGTTTAGGGTTTGTAGCTGTGATCCTGGCATTCTCCGAGGTGAAGTGTAGGGAGCTTGCGGCTTAGAAGCTGCAGAGTGCACTGCCTAAGCGGGCCCGTACTTCCTGAGTTGTCCTCAGCAGCACACAATTCAGCCCTTCAGTCCAGTAGAGCGCGACACCTGGTCCCCAAAAAAATCCTTCGCATACATGGGGGAGGGTTCCGAAACTAGCCCGACGAGCCGAAGCCTGCCGGGGGTACCGTAATTGATTTCGGGGGGGCGGGGGGGTCCCTTTAAGGGGATTCTGTTCTAATTAGTGGTGGTGTGAACGGGGTACGTACCCCTCTTTTGGGAAATGCCGATGCCCTGCTTGCAAACTCCCAAAGACCAGAAGTCGAGCTTACACCCAAAAGGTTTCCCTGAAAGCCTCCAATGTCTCAAAGCCATTCTCATGGAGATGTTAGGTGCGGATTGTCCATGTCTGGGTTTGAAGTACGGTCCTCAAGGCATGAGACTCCAAACCTCAAGAGCCCGAAGGGCCTTAGGGTTTAGGGTTTTGGGTTTAGGGTTCAGGGTTTAGGGTTGAGGGGTGTTGTCCTGCGGTTTGCCCTACCCACAAGGAGATGTCTCTTCCCCATGTGAGCTCTCCTTGCACGCTGCTGGCCGGGCGTGGGGCGCATTGCGCAAGGGTATTCCCATTGCTCCTTGGGGCCAACACGCCGTGATGGGGCCAAGCAAGGCGAATGACAGCAGGGCGATGGGCTAAGGCGCCTGCTGGGGAGCGACCCGTTCAGGATTGGTGCCTTGGGCACCATGCATGGAAAGTCATGCATCCTGATAGACCTCCACTAATCATGGAGGGAGACGCGCACTGTCCCAAGAGGGGAGGCCGTACCAGAGCCGTCAAGGCGATGTTGTTAATTTGTTGTGACGTGGCTTCGTACATTGTTTGCATGCATGCCAGTGACCTTCGTAACTGGTAGTCCGATGGAGTGCCAGGACAAGGCTTGGTCAAGGGACGCGTCATGTGATTTGCTTAAATGGGATTTGATCTGAACTTTGAACCGATATTTCGCATGTAGCTCTTTGAAGAATGTGCAAAGTTGTGCGCAGTGTTGGTTGTAAAGAAGTGACAGCGAAAACCATTGTCAGCTTTGCCCTACCCACAAGGAGATGTCTCTTCCCCATGTGAGCTCTCCTTGCACGCTGCTGGCCGGGCGTGGGGCGCATTGCGCAAGGGTATTCCCATTGCTCCTTGGGGCCAACACGCCATGATGGGGCCAAGCAAGGCGAATGACAGCAGGGCGATGGGCTAAGGCGCCTGCTGGGGAGCGACCCGTTCAGGATTGGTGCCTTGGGCACCATGCATGGAAAGTCATGCATCCTGATAGACCTCCACTAATCATGGAGGGAGACGCGCACTGTCCTAAGAGGGGAGGCCGTACCAGAGCCGTCCTTGCCATGCAGTTTGAGTTCAGATGCTGGGGATGCATGTCAGTGCCACTGTGTAAATATTCAATGACGTGTATGCAGTTTGTGTACTACGATGTTGCCGCGTGTTACACCGTCAGCCTTCACTACCGCACCCACCCGTGAAGGTATTGTGACGAGGCCAAGATGTTCCATCAGTATGATCGCGGCCCTATTGGATTGTACAAGCAGTTCTGGAAATATGGGCACACTGCTCCTTGGCACGCACAGGTCCCAACCGTCCTAACCCTAAACTTAAAGCTTTTGAGCCCTAAACACCGAAACTCAGAAGCCCTAAACCGAAAGCCGCACATGCAGGACTGCGCGACTAAAACTTCGCGCTTGGGGCTCGGGGTTTCAATGCAACCTGAAAAGGAACCTCAGAATCCCACATGCCGATCCCCCTGAACCCTAGCGCCCCAAAACCCTATAACTTTAGGGTTTAGGGTTTAGGGTTTGGGGTTTAGGGTTTAGGGTTTAGGGTTTAGGGTATTCTGGACCCCCATACCCTCCAAAGACCCCTGCACTCCGCGAACCCCTCAAAAATCCTACGGCTCAGGGCAAAGAAGGTTTGGGGTTTAGGGCCTTGGGGCTGAATCCCCCCCGAAGCCCTAAACCCCTAACCCGAAACCCTAAACCCCAAGCCCTAAACCCTAAACCCTAAACCCTAAACCCTAAACCCTAAACCCCCCTCGGAGCCTCCCTCGGAGCCCCCCAAAGCCCTCCAGAGCTCCCGACCAAGGAGCCGATCATGGCCTGGATGCACCCGCAGTTTACTTTCCAGGCTTGCCGGGTCATGGTTTAGGGTTTAGTTTAGGGTTAAGGGTCAGGGTTTAGGGTTCAGGGTTCAGGGTTTAGGGTTTAGGGTTTAGGGTTTAGGGTTTAGGGTTTAGGGTTTAAGGTTTAGGGTTTAGGGTTTAGGGTTTAGGGTATAGGGTTTAGGGTCAAGGGTCAAGGGTCAAGGGTTCAGGGTTCAGGGTTTAGGGTTTAGGGCTCTCATCGCCACGTCGTGTCTCCTAGGGTTGTAGGGTAAATTTAGGGCCCAGATTTAGGGGCCATGTAGCTACCCTTGGAGTGTTAGGTGTTTGGTTTTTCGTTATCCAGATGTGGGCTAGGTGAGTGGTTTGCCCAAATGTTCAGACAAATCCTCCACTCACATGCATCCTAAACCTGACATGGAGACTCTGCACCCCATCAAATGTCACTTGAACCCTACATAACCCTTAATTAACCCTATAAACAACCCCAACCCTAAACCGCCCTAGGCCCCAAACTTGAACTAGCCCTCAACCCCGAACCCTAAACAACCTGTAACCACATCAAACAAATCTAAGCCCTGAACCAACCTAAACATCACACCGGATAGACCTAAACCACCTTAAATGACCCTTAAACAACTTAAGCAAACCCAAGCCCACCCTAGACAACACCCAAGCACCTTAATGACCTTAACCACCCTAAACCACACCCAACACCCTGAGTGATCCTTGGCCACCCTAAACAAGAAGCTACACAACCCTAAGCAATCCTAAACCCTAACGAACCCTAAACCCTAAACCCTAAACCCTAAACCCTAAACCCTAAACCCTAAACCCTAAACCCTAAACCCTAAACCCTAAACCCTAAACCCTAAACCCCAAGCCCTAAACATCCCTAAGACCTAAACATCCCTAAACCCTAAACATCCATAAATTCCTAAACGTGAAACCCCTCAACTTCCCCAAGCCCCTGAGTCCTGCGCAGCTTTAGGGTTTCAGGGTTCAGGGTTCAGGGTTCAGGGTTCAGGGTTCAGGGTTTAGGGTTTAGGGTTTAGGGTTTAGGGTTTAGGGTGTAGGGTTTAGGGTTTAGGGTGTAGGGTTTAGGGTTTAGGGTTTAGCTCACAGGGGTCCCGGCCTGTGACGCTGGGCTGGCGAGACCCCCGGGATCCCGAGGCTCCACGGGCCGAACTTCGGGGTTGTTGAGGTAAGGTTTAGGGTTTAGGGTTTAGGGTTCAATGTTCAGGGTTCAGGGTTTGGGGTTTAGGGTTTAGGGTTCAGGGTTCAGGGTTCCGGGTTCAGGGTCCAGGGTTTAGGGTTTAGGGTTTAGGGACTTTCATGGATGTTTTGGAACGTTCATGGTTTGGGGCTTCGGGATGTTTAGGGCTTTGGGATGTTTATGGTTTAGGGATTAGGGTTGCTTTGGGTTGCAAGCTCAAGAGAATCCTGGTTTGGAGCTCTTTTCAGAGGGGGCTTAAAAGGACCAGTCTTGGTTGTTCGGGCAAGGGTTTGCAGGGTTCAGGGGGTTGAGGGCTTCGTGCGGCTAAGCGGGTCGATTCGGGTTGTTTCGGTTGAGGGCTTTATTGTGTGGTTTAGGTTTCTGTGTTAAGGCTGGGGTTACATAGAGCTTTGTAAAAAACGGTCTATAGTGTAGTTTAGAGTTTTGGAATTGGAGTTTGTCCGGGTTGGGTTTACATGGTCCGACTGTGCACGCCTCCGATTGTTGAACCAGTGCCAACAGAAATGCTGGGCAACACAGACCGTGGACCATGCCTGGGTTTTGGTTTACCGTAAACCCAAAACCCTAAAACTCGAAACCACAGCTCGGAAACGTTAGTACATCTTACATATCCGCCGAGTAGCAGAAGCCTTGTTCATAGAGACTTATTTTAAAAACCACCCCATCAGGGGTACGACCCTGTTTTCGGAACCACACCTCACCTCGGAACCACACCTCACCCCCCCCCCCCCCCCCCCCCCAAAAAAAAAAACTAAAGCCTAAAGCCTAAAGCCTAAAGCCTAAACCCTGACACCCTGACACCCTGACACCCTGACACCCTGACACCCTGACACCCTTACACCCTTACACCCTTACACCCTTAAACCCTTAAACCCTTAAACCCTTAACCCCCCCCCCCCCCCCTCAAATCTTTTGCCAGGAGGGAGGCCCGGCAGCGATGGCGAAGTCGGCGGTGCGAGGCAACGCGGCCCCAGCCCTAAACCCTAAACCCTAAACCCTAAACCCTAAACGCTAAACCCTAAACCCTAAACCCTAAACTCCTTCTCATCAAAGGGCTCTTCCTTGCACACCTAGACAGGGGTAGGTTTGAACACAATGTTTTTATTACACTTAATCCCCCAATATAGGGGTTTCCGAAATTAGGGGTACCTTATTGGGGTCCTTATGATAAGGGAATCCTACTATTTGGGGGGTCTATATTAGGGGGTCTAGCCATAGAAAACTAATGTTTATAGGGCCCACAAACCTACCCCGGCTAGGCTGGCTTCTTGTTCAGTTCAGGAGCTTAATTCCAGCTGCAAGAAAAAAGGGTACTTTCTATCTACCGTATACCCTTGGTGTGGTAAACTAGTTCAACTTCCCTAAGAAGAATCCTGCCCTACACCCTAAACCCTAAACCCTAAACCCTAAACCCCTAAACCCTGTCAAGGGATTCTGCCTGAGGTTGCGCTCTTAAGTTCAGGGGCCCTTGTAGCGAATTGCGAAGGAGTGTATCACCGGAAATGAGCCTGAGCCCCTGAAGCCACCGCCATTGGACCAGGTTTGGACGGTGTCGTGCGGTTCCTCAAGTGGCAAACAAAGCCTGCGCCGCCCCTCGGTGCTGGTAGGGTTTAGGGTTTAGGGTTTAGGGTTTAGGGTTTAGGGTTTAGGGTTTAGGGTTTAGGGTTTAGGGTTTAGGGTTTAGGGTTTAGGGTTTAGGGTTTAGGGTTTAGGGTTTAGGGTTTAGGGTTTAGGGTTTAGCATGGCAATGTCTCCGAAAGCCTCTGCCTGTGCTGCTAGTTAGTTGCCTTCTGGTTGGGGGGGCTAAAGCCTAAACCCTAATTTGGGATTTCGGTCCTGGTTTTCGTGTCCTTTCGTGTCCTCAGCCCTAAACACATCCAACATGTCTCCTCAGGGTGCTAACGGTTCCCCTAATCCCCGGCACTCCAAAACAAGAATGCAGTTTAGGGCTTAGGGTGTAGGGTTTAGGTTTAGTCTTTTTTTTTTTGGGGGGGGGGGGGATTCTGTGGTTCTCCGAGAAAATTCAAGAGTTCAAGCCGTAAGCCCACCTCGAACTTCGAAGTCCCCGAGAGCCGAACTCAGAGTTTGATTCTCTACGATTTGCTTACGAACCCCCCAAAAATTAAAAACCAAATAGTAAAATAAGATATAAGAAATAATCATAATCCCTGCATTGCCCTTATAAGGAAGAATTTGTTTTGTTTTTTAGGGGCTCTTAAGCAATTGGTAGTTCTGGGGAAAGCAGGCAAGATGATAATCAAATTCGAGCGTGCCCGAAATTAGGGGGGTATTTTATGGGGGGGGGGGGGGGGGGGGGGGGGGGTATCCTTCTTACAAAGGAAATCCTAGTATTCGTGGAACTTTATATTTGGGGGTCCCTTATTTTCGTAAACCCCCCAAAAATCAGAAAGTTGACATCTTTGACCATGCTGCCTTCTCATTTCGAGTCGGGATGGTGTGCAGAAGGGCATGCTGCGGGATGGCGTTTTGCTGGATCAGCCTAGAATCCCCCTCTAAACGGTGAACTTACACCCAAAACCTTAGACACTCAAAATCCGGAACTTGGGCAACAGGCTCATTCGTTTAGGGGTCTAGGGGTGTAGGGCTTAGCCCAGAGTCCCTCAGCTCTTGCTGTTTCAGCTCTTACTGTTATACCCTTCAACGGATTATATAGGGTACCTCATTCCCTCATTCCCTACTAGCCAACAGCAAGAGCTGAGCCCAGGCGAGACGAGCCACTGGCACTGCCGCCGAATTCGGATCCTCCAAAGTGACGCCAGCGGTGAAAACGGCAGCCGTGTTCTGGGTTCCGGCTCAGGCGCTTAAACGAAGCTACCCAAAGCTGCCCTGCTAGGGTTATACAATAAAGAATGGCAGCCTGACGTGCTGAAGGCTCTCATTTCATTTTTTTTGCGCGAGATGTTGTCCCATCCCGAAGCCGTAAGCCCCAGCCAGGGCTCTGACATGCAATGCAAAGCTCCCACAAGTATGGGTCTAAGTTGGGTTTAGGGTTTAGGGTTTAGGCCTTAGGGTTTAGGGTCTAGGTCTTAGGGTTCAGGGGTTAGGGTTTAGGGTTTAGGGTTCAGGGTTTAGGGTTTAAGGTGTGGGGTTTAGGGTTTGGGGTTTAGGGTTTTGGGTCTGGGTCATGCCGAGAACCTGACACAATTGAGGCCTCAGTCCTCGTCTCAGCGAGGTTCAGGGCTCGTGCCTGTAGACCTGGAGGTTGAGGGCTTCAGGGTTTCGACTGTCTGCTTTAGAAGTTCAGGGCTTTAGAGTTTGTTTTTTTTTGGGCTAAGGTGCTGTGGATCTTCCTGATGCCAACGATGAACCTCAGCGCCCCGCATTTCCATCTCCCTAGGCCCCGAATCGATCGCAGAAACCTGGACCCACCTGATGACGCCGAAAGGCCTACGACTCTAAACAACCGGTAACCCTAAATCGTAAAACCTAAACCCTAAATCGTAACCCAACCAAAGCCGAGGCGGCAGGCACTGCTCACCACCGGTGCCCTAGATGCGGCCGATTGCGCTGCCTATGCTTCTAGCGAGGCAGGTTGCTTAGCGTTGCTGCGGGTGGGGGGGGGGGGGGGGGGGGGGTGGGGGGTTTAGGGTTTAGGGTTTAGGGTTTAGGGTTTAGGGGGTTTAGGGTTTAGGGTTTAGGGTTTAGGGTTTAGGGTTTTGGGTTTAGGGTTTAGGGTTTAGGGTTTAGGGTTTAGGGTTTAGGGTTTAGGGTTTAGGGTTTAGGGTTTAGGGTTTAGGGCTTAACATGTCCTACTTCATGCTCTTCTATGCGCACATCCCCTCCCCTTGGACCCCCTGCATTAACAACGTGGCGATTAGGTTGGTCTGGGCTTTACTTGCTTCGGATTTGGTGTTTCGAACCTTGGTTCAAGGTTGAAAAGTTTCGGAGCTTAGGGCTGGAGGTTTAGAATTCGGCGTGTGATGCTTTAGGGTGTGGCGCGGTTAGGGCTCATTAGATTGTGTATTTCTCAACACTCCATGACGTGAGGCTGCAACCGCCTTCGCGCTCAGTTCCACGGGCGACTGCCGGGGGCCCATTCCAGCTTGGAATCATCGGCCATCAAGGTTAAGGTGAGCTTTGTTTGCTTACTGCTAGGGTTGAGGGGTCAAGGTTAAGGTGAGCCCATGTTTGTTTACTTTTAGGGTTTAGGGTTTCAAGGGCAAGGGGACTAGAAAACGGAAATGGTATCTGCTAACTGTCTAAAGGAAGGGAAAAGCCCTGTAGCCAAAAACTTCAGCCAGAAACGCGGGTCAGAACCTTGAGTTGAAGTCGTTGTCTGGTGTCCAAACCCCTCCCCACCTAATGGAATAAGTTAGCTGTTGGTTGAGAAGTACGAAGCCCAGAGGTATGGGCAGCAAGTACACGGTTGCAGCTAGCAGGAAAAGCCTTGCAGTGCAAGTAGACTAAACAGTGTAGAGTTGTCTCTGCTTAATCATGCCCTTCAGCCACATTGAATTGTGCGACCAGGCCCCCACTTGGAGGTTCATGGGTACTTATAATAACCACAATGATAAGTCTACTTATAACCTGCTTAGGGGACTTCGGGGGCTTATACGTGCAGTGTTAATTGAGGTTATAAGTACTCCAAGTAGACCCCCAAGGCAAGTTATAGACCTCCCAAAGTCGGCGCCATCCAAAGCTGCACGAAGTATGGAGGGTAGGGCCGCAGGTAAGCAGCTAGAAACCTTCACAGCCCACCGGCGTGCGGCCCGTCTTACCCTTAACCAGAGACTCCTAAACCCCTTAATTAAGACATGCCCGTTTAAATTCTAATGGCAATCCTAACATGATGTAAGGCAGATTCCTTAATGAAGGGGTTTTGGAGTCTCTGAGTTGAATCTAAGAAGGAAATGAGGGAATGAGGTACCCTGTAGAGTCCTTTAAGGGGTATTTGTAGAGGGATAGAAGGTACCCAATTCCCTTAATTCACTACTAAGAACTGAAGGGTTTAACCGTAAACCCTAAGATCCTAAAACCTCCCAGGCTATAGCTATGACATGACCATCACCGACGCCGCACTGCGCTCAGCCTAGGAGAAGGCTCCAGCGCGACACACGGAGTCATGCAGACAACGCGCGTTAGGATAGAGGGCTTAGGGCTGAGGGTTTTAGGGTTTAGGGTTTAGGGTTTAGGGTTTAGAATTTAGGCCTTAGGGCTTAGGGTTTAGGGTTTAGGGTTGGGTCACACAGTTTTGGGGTTCGGGGTTCAGGGTGTGCTTGTGGAATTAAGCCTGAAGTTCCAAGCTCTCCCCCCGAGAATCCTGAGCCCGAAGCCCAAAAGACCAACAACATGTAGTATAGGGGTTTAGGGTTAGGGCTTGGGGTTCGGGGTCGGAACCGGAGTATGCCTGACCCCCAAAGCCCTCCCGACCCCGAAAGCCCTAAAGCCCTAAAGCCCTCAAGCCCTAAAGCCCTAAAGCCCTAAAGCCCTAAAGCCCTAAAGCCCTAAAGCCCTAAAGCCCTAAAGCCCTAAAGCCCTAAAGCCCTAAAGCCCTAAAGCCCTAAAGCCCTAAAGCCCTAAAGCCCTAAAGCCCTAAAGCCTAAAGCCTAAACCCTAAACCCTAAACCCTAAACCCAGTTGAGGTTCGGACTCCACTGACCCAACGCAAACGGTGCCTCTTCTAAGGCCTACGCTGGCTTTCAGCGGGACGGCCTGGGGAGTTCCTGTACGGAGGGGCACCTCCTGCCAAGCGGGGGATGCCAAAGTGTCTTTGTGGGTTTCAGGGTTTAGGGTTTAGGGTTTGGGCTGTTTAGGGTTTAGGGTTTAGGGTTTAGAGTTTAGGGTTTAGGGTTGGGACGGAGGACTTTGTAAGGGCCCGAAAGAGGGTTTCGGGTTCTACATGCTCTTGAGGGCTGTAAAGAATGATGTGAGCCTTCCTGGTGTGATCTGTTTGGGGTTTGAGGGCGTAGCGTAGCAATATTTCGTTTAAGTTTAGGGCTTGTGATACTGTGTGGGGGTTTTCCGTTAGTCCATTTCTTGGAAGCAGCGGGGGTGCGTATCACCCGAAACTACCTGCACATTTGTTACAGCATCTGAGCGTGACATGCCCGAACTCCTGGCCCTGAAGCTTTGAAGGGTAGAATGGTACGGGCAAAGATCCGAGTAAATTTGGAAATCTGGATGGCTAGACGAGTGCCCGTACGGGAGATCTAATTATTTGTGCCGTACTTGCAGCACAGATAGCAACACGCAAACCTTTCGGAGACGTCACACGGACGCCAGGTACAGATACTGGGTTGAGCTGGCAGATCACAGCTTCTATGTGATGCAGCCTACGTGGTGGTCTCAGATGCGGGATGAGAAGGTGGATGCAGGAACGGAATCACAAAAGTGCTTTGGAAGTTTAAAGACTTTCGGATCATCTGCCGCAGTTGCACACCTTGCAGGCCCGAAAACCTCAACGTTGCAACAGTAAGACATACCCATTGACCCTACACCCTGGACAATAAAAACCATGTACAATACAAGCAAAGATGAGCCAGCTTGGTTGTTCTAATATGTGTATATATATATGTGACCACATATATATATATATACATAGAGAGAGATACATAGGGAGAGAAAGAGAGAGAGCTGAACCACGGCTTCTACCGAGGACCCACGCAGCCCGAATTGTACTCAGGCCCTAAGTCTTAAGTACACGAAGAAGTAGGACCGGCCATCAGCCAAGACACAGTCTGGTTTAGTAATGTCATGTCAGTAGTGCTTCAGCTTCATGATTCAAGGTTTAGGCCTTTGGGCGCCGATCCCCATCAAGCAGGGTGACTTATTGCGAAACGGTCCTTGAAGAAGAGGTCCTCGCTTTCTTTCTAGAAGGAAGGGACATACGACCCGCGCGAGGCATAGCTGCCCGTTCGCCGTCTCCGGCGGTGGGCGTCACAGAGACTTGCGACGGCTAGCTGCCGCGAGCCTAGCCGCACCATGAACATGCGTTTCCTAACCCTGATAATAACAGTCCTTAACAGGGATGATAGTAGGGGGTACTACAATCCTTATTAAGGACTGTTAGTTTTAGGGGGGACATCCCAATCTGGGACCTTATACAGGGCTCCTGACTCTAGGAATCCCCAGAAATAGTCTCATCTTAAGGTGCCCCAATCTGTCCAGAATAGGTGAAGCAGGTTCCCCTTAAACCCCACTCGTCCCTATGTCCCTGGAAGCGCTTAGGGTTTAGGAGTTTTAGGGTTTAGGGTTTAGAGTCAGGGCACTAAGTCCCTGTAAGGGAAGCGCGAAAAAGGGGGGCAAACGCGGCCTAAACCCTGAGCTTTGAAAACCCGAAGGCCGCAACCCAAACCCAAAACCACGCCTCCAACCCTGGGGCTGCCCAACCCGACAACGCATTGAGGCATGGGCACATGGGTCTACAGGGTTTGCAGGGTTTAGGATCTAAGTTGGGCTCTCGTGTTTTGTGGTGGGGGGGATCTCCTGATCGGGAAAGGAAAGAGTGGTTTGGGGACGTTGCAGGAACCCGCGCTGTAGTTAGGAAGAACATGCACCTCTGCTAGGGTTTATAGGGTCTAGAGCTTAGACCTTAAGGCTTAGGGGTCACAAGGGGGGACCCTGTCACAAGACTGTAGAGGGCATTCTGGGTAAGTCCCCGCATAGGGCTCCATGCCCCTGAGGTGGTGGAAGGAAGCCCAGGGCTCGGCTGTCAGGGCTTTTTTTCAGGGCTTTAAGGGCTTTTTAAGGGCTTTAAAGAGGCAGAGAAAGGCTCTACTATCATGGTGCCTTAAATCGCCGTTCAGTTACAAGG